AAAAAAAAAAGATACAAACTAGAATGTTTATGGATGAAATAGTAACATGATGGCCAAGATTTGCCACCAGATAGACTGGGGTGGGGAAGTGTTGGGTAGAGGTGGTACACGGTTGGCCAAAGTTAATAGCTGTTGAGCACAGGTGCTGGGCCCGTGGGCCCGGGACACCCTTCTCCTCGCTTGTGTACACTGGATGTTTCCACAATTAAACACCTAACCAACTTAAGTAACTAATACAATAACTGGCTGTGACATGAACACCGAGATCACACAAGATAAAAAGCATAGTCCCTAACAAGAGAACCTCTCTGAGGGAGGGGCCACGTGTCTGGTGCACACTCCAGCCAGTAGGGTGAGGGCAGTTCCGACCTCATTTTTGATGGGGAAATGGAGGAAATGTTCTCCCGTTGTACCCCCAGAATTAGGGTGAAGGAACGTCCAGCCTCTGGACTCTAATCCCCAACTCACCACCTGGGGCCCAGGACTTTAGAGCTGGGCTGACCCTGGGAAAGCCCCACCCACTCCTACCCCACTTCAACACAGAAGGCCCAGAGAGGTGTGGTGACTACCCTGACATCACACACTTCTTGGGAATGGAAGCTGGCCTCAAACTCACATTTGGCTCCAACCTGGTGCCCCACAGTCCTTCACTCAGGCTCAGGCAGAAGTAGGCAGCTCTTCTGTCTAAGGACCTGTCCCTGTCATCACAGTTTGTGGGAGGGAAGTGGGCAGAAGGGCCTGGAGGCTCTCTATGAATTCACCTCCCACTCACTCACTCACTTCCCTGCTATCAGCACTTCTGGGATGAGGTCGCTCCAAATGCCCCAAACGTGTCTATGAAATGCCCCAGCTGTACTGTTTTTACTCATCTAGAAGGCACATAAATATAAATACTACAGCCATGAATGAAAAACCACTGTCTATTGCCATAAATAAAAAGCAACCATAAAAATAAAACCACAACCTTTAAAATAAAAAATCATTCTTGGCATAAAAAAACATCTTGGCAGGCAGATGTTTGCTACAGCAGGTGGAATCTCAGTGGTGAGCGTGTGTGTGTTCGCTGCAAAATCCTTTGAACTTTACTGTGTGTTTGAAAGTGTTCATAACAAAGTACTGGGTGCGGCAGTTTATTCCATACCTAAGGGGCAACTGCCTGGATGCCATACTTCTCGTGAGTTCAGAAGCACTGCCCCCCCTTCAGATTATGTTTGAAATTTTCATTAAACAAAGCAAACAAAAACCTTCCAGTAGCTTCCATTCATTATACACTTAAATCTTAGCACGGCTCAGAGCCTTTGCTCTGGCCGCTCTTCTCTGCCCGGCTGCCCCATCATTCAGGCCTCCGCCCAGATGACAGCCCACAGCACGCTGTCACCCTCCCCAGCTCTGCTTCCCCTCCAGGAGCTCTCCTCCACCCACACCATTCTGCTCGCAGCCTCCTCCTTCCCCACTGACCCCACCCCGTGTGAGTGACATGATACCCCTGTCCTTGGCACTCAGGGAGACACTCGATAAGTATCTTTGAATGAATAAAAGAATGGATGAATCTGAGCCAGCATCTCAAGCCCTCTGTTGTTGTTGAAAACAACCTTTAATGCCTGGAGAAGAGGCCATGTGGTGTCAGTGGCCAAGCATCAGCTGAAGAGAGCGTTAACTGAGTCAATGTCATGTGAAAATGGCCGGCGGGAGCCTTCACTCAGCATGATTTGCAAGGTTAATCCACGTTGTGGCATGCATGAGGACTTCACTTCTTCTGGGTATGTACTCAGAACTGGGATTGTTGGGTCATAGGGTAGTTCTATGCTCAACTTTTTAAGGAACTGCCAAACTGTTTTCCGCAGTGATTGCACCATTTTACAGTCCAACCAGCAATGGACAAGGGTTCCAATTTCTCCACATCCTTGCCAACACTTGTTATTTTCCAATTTTTTTCATCTTAACCACTCTGGTGGGGGTGAGGTGGTATGTCACTGTGGTTTGGATTTGCATCTCCCTGATAACTAATGACGGTGAGCATTTTTTCATGTGCTTGTTGGCCACTTTTATATCCTCTTTGGTGAAATGTCTACTCATGTCCTTTGCCCATTTTTTGATTGGGTTGCTTGTCCTTTTCTTGTTAAGTTGTATCAAGTACTTTTTATTTTCCTTCTAATATTTCCTTTACATAAAACTACAAAACGATGCTTTGGCTTCGTCCAAATTTTGAAAATATAAAATCCAAGATGAAACTATGTATGGTTGAACCACACCTTCTATGGTCAGCCTCTCAGCTCATGGCCCCCTTATCATGTTCACACCACACAGCACCCTGCCAGTCATGGCGGTGAGTGAGGAGGCCCAGAGTGGTGACCTCTCCTCGGGGCTCTACACAGCCCCACTGGTCCTCCCTGTGCTGATTTGGGGGGTCAGTCACCACCCAGCCAGATGACTAGCAGGTCACACTGCAGCTGCCAGCCCAGCCTGCCCTCTGTTCATGCATCACCTGCCTAGTGATGGCCCCAGGCGGGGCCTCTGAGCGACATGAAGCCACTAGGAGCCTCTGGGATCCCTGACCACACTCTGCTCCAGCCCAGCAGGTACAGATAGGCGGCTGGCAGCCCCCTCCCCCTGACTCCTGGGCCCAGCAGCATGGCAGCGTGCTCTGGAAGAGTGCATGACCGCCTGCCCAACCCTTAGGTGGGTCACTCATGGGCCTAGGGGCAGGGCTCCTGCCCAGCTGGGCCTGGAGCCCTGCAGCCCCCCGAGGCACCACCAAGCACACACCTGCTAGAAGCCAGAGCCCATCGCCACGCAGCTGACTCTGGGGACGTGCATCTGACCCACTGTCTACCAGCCCATAGAGTCTATACCAGAGATGCCAAGGCGGGAGTGGGGCCCAGGCATCTGGGGACTCTAACTTAGTCGGCACTCCTGTGCTCATCCCCCAGGGATGCTGAAGCACCTTCTCTGTGCTGCAGGGCTGGTGTCCAGGGAAAGTCTATGATGCATGATCAGGTGGGGCCCAGCGAGAGCCCAGGGGCTGTGACCCTGATGCTGTGACCACCAACCACAGTGCGCTGTCTGGGGACCCGGAAGGTCCATCCCACGTCAGACACACAAGGCCCACACTGGTGGATGTGCCGGTGCACAGAGCACAAGGGGTGAGGTGAGGCTGAAGCCCAGCAACACTGTCATTCTGAGGAAGGAACCTGCAAGATCACCCACAACTGTACAGCAGGGTGAATGAAGAGTGGGGGAACAGCACCCCAGACAGAGGGAAGAGGACCTCAGACAAGGCAACGGCAGCCCAGGGAGCGAACAGGACCTCAGATGGGGGGAGCTGCACCCCAGGGATAAGAGCCAGCACCCCAGATGGGAATGGCACCCTAGAGAGAGGGGACAGGTTGTCCAAAGTTCAACGCGAGAGAGCCCAGCTGTCTGAGTAGCTAGCTGTGCATCCTGATGGTTGAGCCTGGGGGGCGGGGGGACAGGGCATGCTGTGTGGGTCTCCATCAGCCTCCCTGCAGTTGGGATGGGTCTTGCAGCAGTGTGGAGCCGCGTGGCGCTGGTGCAGGTGGCCACCCTCAGCCCAGGTTCTGGGAGGCCCAGTGGAGGCAGGGTGGCTTGCCATGAGGACGATTAGAGAGACTGGAGCCCTGTGGACAGAAGCTGAGGCCTCAGTGCTCGAGCCAGGGTCACCACAAAGAAGGACAGGGGTGCAGGGCAGCCGAGCATGGTTGGAGGTGCAGCAGGGTAACCAGGGAGAGGTCCCCCAGGCACTGTCAGCCTGACCCCTGACCCCACATGGCTACCCCACCCCATCCAGGTGTCCGCTGGGAGCCCTGCCCCCACCTTGACCCTGCTGCTCCTGTTCCTGGCTCAACACACCACATGCCCCTGCCTGCCCCTCATCGCCACAGCCCCCGATGGGACCCTGCAGAACACGGGAAGAAGTGATTGGTGTAGAGATCGAAATAGTGGGCATCAGGAAGAGCATCAGGGTCCCCTCACCTCTCCCATCACCCTCATCCGTCCCAGGGCCTAGGGTGACTACTGTCCCCATACGGTCCGCAGCGTTCCCACCTGGTCCAGGATCATCCTTCTCAAAGACACTCACCCCTAAGCCCTCCTGAGGCCACCGGAACTTTTCCTGGGCCTGATTTACATCTGCCCTGCAGGCCAGACCTCTGTCAGGTGGCACCCAGTCCTGGGGTTTCACATGCCATCTCTACTCCCAGGCTCACCCTATTATCATGGAGCCTCGGTTCTCGCATCCGTGAACTGGGTGGTGGCGAGGAAGCAGCACTCCTTCCCTGCCCATGGCACATACCAGGAGTCCTCTAAGGAAGAGCAGCTGCTTAGGTCACTGCTGAGCCAATGGGGCCTCCTGGCCATGAGCTGGAGACCCCTGGGCATCTCAGGACAATGCCTGGTGCTTTCACTCCAGCCTCGACAGGTCAAAGACCCTCCAGGCCGCTCAGCATGCAGAGGATGCACCCCTGCTTAGCTTTCACATCAAGAAACACTTATCTGTGCGGACAGATGTCAGCCCCTGGGGGCTGGGAACTGATGCCCCTGGACAGCCCACAGGCAGCCCAGCCTGGCCTCCTGTGACACAGGGACAAACCACTTCCTCCCTTCACCCCAGCCAGCGCCCCACCCTCGTCCCCAGGCTGCTGTTGGACTCAGAAGATTGGGGCTTGGGCCCAGACACGCAGCTGCAGGCTGTGAGGTCCTAAGCAAGTCTCAAAGCGCTCTGTGCCTCAGTTACCTCTTCTGTAAGAATGGCTCAGTAATATGTGGCCTGGGTATGGGCCCAGGACCAGTTCTGACAGCAGCAGAGCTGCAGTCATCCGCAGCCTCCCCCCACCTCCAGAGCCTGGCAGTATGCAGACCTCCACCCTACAGGCGTGAAGGTAGAAGTCACAGCGGGCAGTGGCCCCTCACCAGGGTCACTGTGGTCGTGGAGCACCGGCACACCAGCATCCGACTGCTGCCCGGGGCCCGTTCTCCACCCCTGGAGACATCTCAGGAGCCCAGGGGTCCACCTTTCTGTCCTCACCATCCCCCGTAGGCCAACAGTGACTCACCATCCCCAATCTGACAATGACCATTGTTTACGGTACAGTGACCCCGAACCGCAAAGCTTGGAAGGGTGTGGGGCCTGAGCTCCGGACGCTGGCGCCAAGCTGTGGGCCTTCAGACAGGTTGCTGCCCCTCGGGGCCTGGTTCCCCATCTGCACAGAGGGCATGGTCGGTGTCATGGTTTGAATTATGTCCCCCAAAAGTGTGTGTAGCGATTTGGCTGGGCCCTGATTCCCAGAATTGTGTGGTTGGCCTCCATTTTGTGATTGTAATTTTATGTTAAAGAGGATTAGGGTGGAATTGTAACACCACCCTTACCCAGGTCACATCCCTGATCCAATGTAAAGGGAGTTTCCCTTGGGTGTGGCCTGTACCACCTTTTACCTTACAAGAGATAAAAGGAAAGGGAAGCAAGCAGAAAACTAGGGACTTCATACCACCAAGAAAGAAGCACTGGGAGCAGAGTGCGTCCTTTGCACCTGAGGTTCCTGCGCAGAGAAGCTTCTAGTCCAGGGGAAGACTGATGATGACGAGGACCTTCCTCCAGAGCCAACAGAGAGAGAAAGCCTTCGCCTGGAGCTGACCCCCTGAATCTGGACTTCTAGCCTACCGGACTGCGAGAAAATAAATTTCTCTTTGTGAAAGCCATCCACTTGTGGTATTTCTGTTAGAGCAGCACAAGATGACTAAGACAGTCAGGATTACCCGTTCTTCCAAGACAGATACCCTCTCTCTGTGGCTCAGTGCTGGCCCAAGAAGGCCCTGGCCAGCTAAACTCCCATTCCTGGTAGAGCCACGCCAGACAGCCCTGGTGCCTGCCAGTACCTAAATGGTATGTGGCTGTGCAGGAATGAAAATGGACCTTCTGAGGCCGTGCTGGCTGGGGAAGGTCTGGCCCTCCTAGGGACAATGTCTAGACTACTGGCCCCTGTTTTGCTCTGGCAAAGGAAGACCTGCATTCCCCAATGCCTCGAAGACACTGAGCTGGCATTTGAGCTTTCAGACAGACCTCGGCCCAACGGCCATGGCTCAGAGCTCAACTGAGTCCTCAGCTGGTGGGGCTGCACCCCCCACTCAGCTCTGCCCCCGCAGAGCTTGTTAAGGACAATGTCCAAGGTCCCAGCCAGCCCAGATAATGGTCAGCCCAGTCCCACACACTGGCTTACAAAGGACTCTCACATTTCCCCACAATGACTGACTTGATAAACAACACTGGAGGAACCCACAGAAAGAAAAAAGGTCAAACAAGAGACATGGCGCTGCCTGCCACCACCGCGGCTTCCTGCCTTAAAAACATCACAGTCTCTCTCAAATGGCTCCTGTTCTGCATGCCCTCACTATCTGCAAAGTTCCCCACACAAAACCAAACTCGGTCTCCGGAGTCGCCAAGGCCTCCACGATGAAATCTCACTCACCAGCCGGCCGAGCGAACGCCTGTGCGTTTCTCCTCCAGGTTTGAACTTCATGCAACAGCAAAGCACTGCTTCCTTTTTCTGGTTTGTGCACTAAGGTCACAAAACTATAGCGTATTTGCATTTCCGCATTGTCACACAGCGAGGAGTTTCACGTGCTACTTTGCAGGGTGGTGGTAGTGACAGCAAAAACACAATCAAACCCGGCCAAATGGGTGTCCCAAGCTTGCCACTCACACCCGGCAGCCAGCGACAGCCAGTGCTGGTTGAAGTGTTTAACAGCGCCATTCTACGGAGCCTGGGGCTCTGGGCGTAGATGTGGATGTGGCCATCACACCCATCCTTCTTTCCCCTCGGACGGATTTGCTGAGCCAGTCCCTGTAGGCTCACAGCTCTCAGGGCCTGCAGAGAGGAGGGCCCAGGGGGCCCTGGAGGGGACTGACTCCTAAGGAGGTGGGGCCGGACCCCAGGGCCTGAAGGGCACAGAAAGTGCCCATAGGCATGGTGGGAGGCCTACTCCAGTCTTTTTGAGTGGGAGCAGTGAAAACAGCCAGAGACAGGTGGGAAGTGAAGAGGCCTCACTGAGCTGAATCATTTCCAGGTTCTTCTGAGGGACAGAGCTATCCCCTCTGTGAAGCCACTTGCAAACAGGAAGGGCTCCATGTCCTTCCGCTCACTGTGTGGGGAAGAGTAAATGAAGACATGGTGGCTTCTAAAAGGCTTAGACTACAAATTCTGACCCAATTTAAAAAATGGTTTCTTATTGTTGTTAGTAAAAAGCTCTGGCAGTGCAGTGGTTAAGAGTTCAGCTGATAACCAAAAGGTCAGTGGTTCGAACCCACCTGCTGCTCTGCGGGAGAAAGATGTGGCAGTCTGCTTCCGTAAAGATTTACAGCGTTGCAAACCCAATGGGGCAGTTCTATTCTGTCCTATAGGGTCACTATGAGTCGGAATCGACTCGCCGGCGACGGGTTTGGTTTTTTTGGTTTTGTTGTTAGTTGCCATTGAGTTGGCTCTGACTCACAGTGACTCCATGTACAACAGAACAAAACATTGCTGGTCCTGTGCCATCTTCACAATTGTTGGTATGCTCAAGTCTATTGTTGAGGCCACTGTGTATTTTGAATGCTTTCCAACCTAGGGGGCTCATCTTCCAGCACTATATATTGGACCCACAGGGGTTTTCATTGGCTGATTTTTGGAAGTAGATCACCAGGCCTTTCTTCCTAGTCTGTCTTAGTCTGGAGGCTCTGTTGAACCCTGTCCACCATGGGTGACCCTACTGGTATTTGAAATATCAGTAGCACAGCTTCCAGCATAGTAACAGCACACAAGCCACCACAACACAACAAACTGACAGATGGGTGGTTTCTTAATCCAGGCTTAAATTCTTTTTTCAAAAGCCAAGTGATTGCTCTGAGCTTGGTCTCCCCACCTATCAGGTTGGGGTGATCACAGAGCCCCTCACAGGGCTGTGAGGGGTCAAAGGAGTGACTGTTCTGAAAGCTCTAGGAGCTGCACCACACTGAGGAAAAGTGTGTGACAAATAAAATAAAAACAACCAAGCAAGCATTTACTACAATGATTTTTCAAATCGGCATTCAAAACCACAACACTGTCACAGAGCCTGCGGCAGAGGGCTGTTACCTCCACGAATTCCCAAACGATGTCCACCCTAGCCAGACATGGAACCTAGCTCTAAATATTTACCCAATTGTTTGTTAACTAAAGATTAAAAGAGCCCTACAATTAAAACAAATATCAGTGAGGGCCACTGTGTACCCAGTCCGAGGGGCCCATCCTGGACACATCTACATGTCCCCCCAAGCTGGGAGACAGCATCTCTCCAAGGGAGCATGGGCCGAGCAACCCAGTCCCGGGTAACCCCACCATGGAGGAAGGGAAGGAACAGAGAGAAGAGTATGAATGGAGTGTACAGAAGTGGTCTAAGAAGGCAGAAATGGGTGCTGGGCAGCACAGTGGCAGGCCAGGTATAAAGATCTGGGAGGTGAGGGGTCATGGCAGGTAAGTGACAAAGAGTAGAGTTGTCATGGGGTCCACGGCTTGAAATTGAACTGAGGTCAAGTGTCTTCTCTTCCTTGAGTGGGTGCGAGTAGGAGAAAGTGGTGGCTCCACATGTGAGGTGACGATGTCCAAGAAGAAACATATGGTAGCCAGCCTTCAAGACAGCCCCAGTAAGCCTCACCTCCTGGTATTCATGTCCCTGGGTGGTTCCCTCACACTTTGAACAGGGATGACCTGTGTAACAAATAGAACATTGCAGAAATGACAGAAGGCGACTTTCTGAGGCTAGGTTATAAAGCACATTGCAACTTCTGCTTTGCTTTCTCCTGGGTCACTCACTCTGGCGAAGCCAGCTGCCATGTTGTGAGTTCACTCAAGCAGCCCTGTGGAAAGAGCCATGTAGGGAGGGGAGGAAATGAGACCTCCAGCCAACAGCCAGCACTAACCTGCTAGCCACATGAGTGAGTCTGCTTGGGAGTGGATCCTCAGCCTCGGTAAAACCTTCAGATGACTGCAGCCTCATAGGAGACCCTGAGCCAGAGAAGTCACACTCAAAGTCCTGACCCACCAACAGTAACTGAGTTAATAGATACATGTTTATTGTTGTTTTAAGCCACTAGGTGTTTTGGATAATTTGTTATGCAGCAATAGATACCTGATGTTATGAATTGAATTGTGTCCCCCTAAAATGTATGTTAACTTGGCTAGGCCATGATTCCCGGTATTGTGTGATTGTCCACCATTTTGTCATCTGATGTGATTTTCCTACGTGTTGTAAATCCTACCTCTATGATGCTAATGAGGCAGGATTAGAGGCAGTTATATTAATGAGTTAATACTAGATGAGGTTGTGTCTTGAGTCAATCTCTTTTGAGATATAAAAGAGAGAAGTGAGCAGAGAGACAGGGGACCTCATACCTCCAAGAAAGTAGTGCCAAGAGCAGAGCAGGTCCTTTGGACCAGGGGTCCCTGCACGGAGAAGCTCCTAGACCAGGAGAAGATAGATGACAAGGAACTTCCTCCAGGGAGAAAGCCTTCCCCTGGAGCCGACACCCTGAATTAGGACTTCTAGTCTACTAGGCTGTGAGAGAATAAACTTCTGTTTGTTAAAGCTATCCACTTGTGATATTTCTGTTGTAGCAGCAGTAGATAACTAAGATATCTGATAACCATATTTTCATCAGGAAAAAAGGAAAGGAATGACCTGAAGGTGGTGGGATGTCTGCCCACAGTGAGAGATGCGTTCACAGAAAACTAACAGCACTTCCTATCTCTATATTCATTTATTTCATTAATTCCCCCAACAGTCCAAACTGGGCCCTCACCTCTAAAGGGGTTCCCTGGTGGCAACTAGCAGCTCACTTTGACAACAGTGAAGATTCCATTTTGTGCTGTCCACTCTCATGGGCCTTGACTCACTTCAGGGAGTCAGAGAACCTTAAAGTGAGGCCTAGGGTTCCCCTCCCCTGCCCTAGCCAGCATTCCCACAGCTGTGGTCCTCCAGCACTGCTCACTCCCAAGCATGCAACACATACCACTCCCCCAGGTAGCTCCCTGTGCAAGGGGGAAGGGGGCACAGCCCTGAGGAGCGCTGGGTCTGTCTAAGTACCCAGTGGTTTCTCCCTCAGGCCCTGCTCTGCCCCAGAGACCCCCAGGCCAGTACAACCAGCAATGACCTGAGGGATGTCCAGGTCAGTGAGTTATCTAGTGCTGCTATAACAGAAATACCACAAGTGGATGGCTTTAACAAAGAGAAATTTATTTTCTCACAGTCTGGTAGGCTAGAAGTCCAAATTCAGGGCATCAGCTCCAGGGGAAGGCTTTCTCTCTCTGTCAGCTCTGGAAGAAGGTCCTTCTCATCAATCTTCCCCTGGACTAGGAGCTTCTCCACGCGTGAACCCCGGGCCCAAAGGACACGCTCTGCTCCTGGCAATGCCTTTCTTGGTGGTATGAGATCCCCCACTCTCTGTTCACTTCCCTGTCCTTTTGCTTCTTCTGAGATAAAAGGTGGTGCAGGCCACATCCCAGGGGAACACCCTTACACTGGATCAGGGATGTGACCTTAGTAAGGGTGTTACAATCCCACCCTACTTCTCTTTAGCATACTCTAATCTTGCCTCATTAACCCCAGGCAGAGATTAGGATTTATAACACATAGGAAAATTACAGTCAGAAAATGGAGGACAACCACACGATACTGAGAATCATGGCCTAACCAAGTTGACACAAATTTTGGGGGTACACGATTTAGTCCATGACAGTGAGGAAAGCTACCAACCATGAAGGCAAGGCTCAAAGTACCTGTGTAAGACCTTAGAGACAACAGGAAGGAAGTGGGGCCACTAAACCACAGTGACCCAACAATACAGTCCTGGAAGCCAGCCAAGAGGAAGTGGGTCAGAGGCACCTAGTATAGATGGCCTCATCCAGAACCCTGAGGAAGGCCAAGGGAGGCCCCCTGCCCATGCACAGCCCTCACAGAGAAGGGTGTGGAGCAGGCTGGTGGCGGGTCCCCTCTTCTGACACAGAGAGGTCCACTCAGAAGGAAGGAGAGTCTGACCCACTGCAGGCTATTTCCAGGAAGGTTGGCATGAAGACGTGGTAGGAAGAATGAACAATGAGGCTTCAAGTGGATAATCCTGCCGTATATAGTGAGTGATGCAAACGGTTAAGTGCTCAACTACTAACCAAAAGGTTGGAGGGTTGAGCCCACCCAGAGGCACTTTGGAAGAAAGGACTAGCTATCTGCTTCTGAAAAGTAACAGCCATTGAAAACCCTATGGAGTAGTTCTACTCTGACATATATGAGATCTCCATGAGTCAGAATGGACTAGAGACCAACTTTTTTTTTTTTAATAGAGTTCAACATTTTTCTCCTGACATTTCTCAAGCTGAAAGAACTGAAGAAAAAATCAGACCTTGAGTAGCAATGTTGAAGGATTCTATGGGCAAAATACTGAATGAGGCAGGAAGCATCAAAAGAAGATGGAAGGAGTATACACAGTCACGGAACCAAAACGAACTTGACGACATTCAACTATTTCAGGAGGTAGGTAGCATATGATCAAGAACCAATGATATCGAAGGAAGAAGTTCAAGCTGCACTGAAGGGAATGGAGAAAAACAATGCTCCAGGAATTGACAGAATAACAATTGAGATGTTTTAACAAACGGATGCAGCCTGGAGGTACTTACTGATCTATGCCAAGAAATTTGGAAAACAGCTACCTGGCGAACCGACTGGAAGAGATCCATATTTGTGTCTATTCCAAAGAAAGGTGATTCAACAGAATGTCGAAATTATTGAACAATATCATTAATATCACACACAAGTAAAATTTTGCTGAAGATCATTCAAAAACAGTTGCAGCAGTACATCGACAGGAAACTGCCAGAAATTCAGGCCAGATTCAGAAGAGGATGTGGAAGGAGCGATATCATTGCTGATGTCAGATGGATCTTGGCCGAAATCAGAGAAGACCAGAAAGATGTTTACCTGTGTTTTATTGACTACGCAAAGGCATTCGACTGTGTGGATCATGACAAATTATGCATAACATTATGAAGAATGGTAATTTCAGAACACTTAATTGTGCTCATGCGGGAACCTGTACATAGACCAGGAGGCTGTCATTCAATCAGAACAACGGGGTAGTGCTTGGTTTAAAATCAAGAAAGGTGTGTATCCTCCACTGGCTGCTCTGAAAAGCTATCTTTGCACTGTCCGCAGGTCCAGCTCTGCGCTTGCTGCAGCCACCTCCGCCATGCACCTCCCCTGTCACCGAAGACTCCGGGAGCTTTCTCGCCAGAGTCCCCGAACTCGCGCTTTCTTTGTAATCAGCTGCATCGGATCACCAGCGTGCCCCACCATGTCAGATGTGGCTGTGGACACCGGCTCTGAGATAACCTCCAAGGACTTAAAGGAGAAGGAGGTTGTGGAGGAGGCAGAGAATGGAAGAGATGCGCCCGCTAATGGGAATGCTAACGAGGAAAATGGGGAACAGGAGGCTGACAATGAAGCAGATGAAGAAGAGGAAGAAGGTGGGGAGGAAGAAGAAAGTGATGGTGAGGAAGAGGATGGAGATGAAGATGAGGAGGCTGATGCAGCTACGGGCAAACGGGCAGCTGAAGATGATGAGGATGATGACGTTGACACCAAGAAGCAGAAGACCGATGAGGATGACTAGACAGCAAAAAAAGGAAAAGTTAAACTTAAAAAAAAGGCCACCGTGACCTATTCACCCTCCACTTCCGGTCTCAGAATCTAAACGTGGTCACCTTCGAGTAGAGAGCCCCACCCGCCCACCTCGGGCAGCGCCACCTGCAGATGACATGTGCTTTCCACCACCCAACCAAAACCACAGCATGAATTTGCAACAGTGGAGGAAAAAAGAACCAAAGCTTCCAAGACCCTGTTTTTTTTCTTAAAAGTACTTTAAAAAGGAAAAGTTGTTCGTATTTTTTATTTACATTTTATATTTTTATACATATTATTAGGGGTCAGCCATTTTTAATGATCTCAGATGACCAAACCAGCCTTCAGAGTGTTCTCTGTCCTTCTTCTGACTTTACCTGTGGTGTTACCATGTTCATTATAATCTCAAAGGAGGAAAAAAAACTTGTAAAAAAAAAAGCAAAAACAACAACAAAAAATACAATCTTGTTCCCAGTATTCCAGTAACTTTTTTTGTGTATGTACTTAGCTGTACTATAAGTAGTTGGTTTGTATGAGATGTTTAAAAAGGCCAAAGATAAAAGGTTCCTTTTTTTTCCTTTTTTTGTCTATGAAGTTGCTGTTTATTTTGTTTGGCCTGTTTGATGTATATGTGAAACAATGTTGTCCAACAATAAACTGGAATTTTATTTTGCTGAGTTGTTCTAAAAAAAAAGAAAGGTGTGCGTCAGGGTTGCATCCTTTGACGCTTTTTGTTCAGTTTGTATGCTGAGCAAATAATCAGAGAAGCTGGACTATATGAAGAAGAATGCAGCATCAGGATTGGTGGAAGACTCATTAACAACCTGTGATATGCAGATGACACAACCTTGCTTGCTGAAAGCGAAGAGGGCTTGAAGCACTTACTGATGCAGATCAAAAACTACAGCCTTCAGTATGGATTACACCTCAACATAAAGAAAACAAAAATCCTCACAACTGGACCAATAAGTAACATAATGATAAATGGAGAAGATTGACATTGTCAAGGATTTCATTTTACTTGGATCTACAATCAACGTCCATGGAAGCAGTAGTCAGGAAATCAAAAGGTGTATTGCATTGGGCAAATCTGCTGCAAAAGACCTCTTTAAAGTCTTAAAAAGCAAAGAAGTCACTTTGAGGACTAGGGTGCACCTGACCCAAGCCATGGTGTTCTCAATAGCCTCATGTGCGTTCAAAAGCTGCCCCAGCTCCACTCACGATCCCTTGGTGACCCCAGGCTGCAGGCAGACTCACTTCCCAGCTCCTCCCAGATCGGTGTCCACTCTTGCTCTGTGTTGTTAGCTGCCAACGAGTTGGTCCCCAAATCAAGATGACCCCGTGCACAACGGAACGAAAGGCTGCCTGGTCCTGCGCCATCCCTGTGATCAGTTGCAGATTGGACCATTGTGATCCATAGGGTTTTCATTGGCTGATTTTTGGGAGCAGATTGCCAGGCCTTTCTTCCTAGTTCATCTTAGTCTGGAAGCTCCGCTGAAACCTGTTCATCAACATAGCAACACAAAGCCTCCACTGATGGACAGGTGGTGGTTGTACAAGAAGTACACATTGGCCGGGAATCAAACCCAGATGTCCCACACGGAAGGCGAGAATTCTACCTCTGCACCACCAATGTCTTGTTCCTATAGTAATCCCTTACTCTGTATCACTCAGGGAGCCACTGCCTCCTCGAGTGAACTCTGACCAGCCCAGCCCCTGAGGAACTGCATGGAGCAGAGCCCTCGTTGGCTCCCCAAGCCAGCACTAGACCATGACTGACAGAAATGAACCTTCATTATGTTACCCCTGGGAGGTTCTGGGTGGTTTGTTAAAGCAGCCAGCGGGCCCTGACTGATACCCTCCACCTTCCTGGCCAGCGGTTCATCCCCAGTGCAGCTATGTCCTGTTGGGGGCAGGTGCCCTCCTGATGTCTAGAGTTGAAACTCAAAGTGCATTTTCTCGGTGAGACCACGTTATCCGTGATGACTTTATAGCCTTCAAATGGAAGGTTTCAGGCTGAAGGCAGTGTATATTTATGAAGCACACAACATAAGCCACACCTGCCCTGGGCTCTCTGACCTGTGTTGATTCTGGCTGGGTTTGCTGGAGTGACTTAGCACCCACTGGACCACCCCAAATGGCTGCGCAGAACCAGGTCTCTCACTGGGCACATCACTCAGTCACAGAGGGTGTCCTTGGCTGCAAATGCTGCATGGCCCGGAACACGCGGGTGTGTTCTAAGAATCAGACCCATCCTGAGGGCCTTTCGTGGATGCAGAGGGCAGCGCACAAAAACAGTGAGCCCCAGGCTAGTCATCTCTCACCCAGAGTGTGGCAGCGAGCTCTGAGAGCATAACTAAACCCCAGAGCAAGAATTTGAAAGCGTTTAAAACACCTTCTGATTTTACCTACTGCCACTTCTAATGCCAAGCCCGTGCTGAAAATAAAAGAGGGAACCTAATGCAGCCCAAATCCATTGCAGGCAGGCGTCCCTGGAAGTGGGTACACTTCCGTCTCATAGACGCCCAGATCGAGGCTCTGGGAGATCTATCACTTGTCACCTGGAGTGTGGTGGGACTAGGGTTTGAAACCCATTCTCCTGCCTCTTGCTGGAGGCAGCAGACACAACTTCTTCACTCTCCTGCAGCACTAGGCAAAGCTGAGTGGGACATCAGGCAGCCATTTTTCTGGATCTTCCAAATGCCCTCATTTATCTCCTTGTCAGAGCCTGTCACCACTGCAGCCCTGACCCTCGAGTACCCTGCAGGACAGCCTGGCAGACCACAGGGCCAACACAACTTCAGCACCTTTGCTGAAGCCTCCCTGCATTAACAGCACCACGGGGAGCAGGAGTCAGCAAGAGTTCCCTTAACAGGTCAGATAGTCAATACAGGCTGACCCTGCTTTGCATGGCTGTGCAGGACTGTAAAAATGAGTGTGCAAAAAAAAAGAGTGTGCAAAAAATGAGTGTGCAAGCTGGAGCCTGCAGAGTGAGTTTAATCAACCAGGAAAATTACAACTGGTCTGTGACCTTTAGATACTTTTGTCAAGGTTTAAAAACTCTCTTACTGTTGGCTATAAATTTATAGGGTGATGAGAAAATGGAAAACCAATATTTATTTAGTACCTATAACTTAAAACATTAGAAACAGTGAGAATTTAAGTGCTTTATTTCTTTGTAAAAAATGACCAAAAGTAGTTTGAACAGGACTTGCCTTTTTCTCATCATATTGCTTACGATATGGAGCAGGCATCTTTTCTATGCCTTGGCAAATTGTCATACTTCTTTCTAACTTTGGATCAGCTTTCAACATTATCTCCTTTGCACTTTCAATGTTCTGAAATATCTCTGAGAGTTCCTTTGATTCTTCTGGACATCTCCACCCTTTTTGTCGTTTCTGTTGCTAAGTTCCTCTCATTGAGTCCCTCTGGCTGTGCCTCAGGAGTCTCCTGAATGGTGCAGTGCTCGCATTCCCACGGCCAGATATTTCTCTTTAGCTCCATTTGCGCTAGATTAAAATTTTACTTCCAGCGTTAACACTGTTGTTTTTGCTGAGTTTAGTGATGCCGATTTTGCAGGGTTGTTAAAGTTAAATGACACAAGGAGTCTGTACACAGGGTGACTGGCTTGGAGCTGGACATGAGGGGACTTCTGCTGGGGAGCTTATGAGAAAGGTTTTCCTTAAAGAGATTCTAGAAGAGAAGGTCTGTGTTCTGCTTGGTCACTAGTGTGTGAGATATGATGGCAAGATTTACAGCAGCCATTTTGAGACCATGAGGCCTAAATACTAAGATAAATGAGGCAATATATGTGGAAATGCTGAGCAACCAAGGGAATTTGACAAATATTATTTGCTTCCTCTTTCATTCATTTAGTCACACACTTGAGTTAATATATTTGAGAGAGTCTTATTTCTGAATATCACTAATCATTACTTTAGCATAATAATGAGGCCCTTTAGCAAATGCAAAGCCCCTGGGCGGCACAAATGGTTTGTGCTTGGATAGTAACCTAAAGGATGGCGATTCAAACCCACCCAGCACTGCAGAAGAAAGGCCTGGTGATCTGCTTCCATAAAGATTACAGCCAAGAAAACCCAGTGGAGCTCAGTTCTATTCTGTAACACATGGGGTTGCCATGAGTTGGAATAAACTGGACAGCAATGGGTTGGTTTGGCTGGGCTTAGCAAATGCAGTCCCAGAACCTAATTCTTTCTCCAAACTGTCTTTTAACAGAATAATGGACACAGACAACATTAAAATTCAATATTTACTAAATGCAATATGGTATCCCAGATTGAATGTTAGTAGAGAAAAGGGACATTCGTGGAAAAACTGGTGAAATCCAAATAAAGTTTGTACTTTAAGTATTCACCACACTGATTTCTTTTCTTTTTTTAAATAATATTTTATTGTGTTTGGTGAATGTTTAAACAGCTGTTTAGGTTCCCACCATGCTAATTTCTTGATACCATCAACTGTCAGTTTGTTGTACTGTGGTGATTTGCATATTGCTATGATGCTGAAAGCTATGTTACTGGTATTTCAGATATCAGCAGGGTCACTCATGGTAGACAGGTTTCAGCGGAGCTTCAAGAATAAGACAGACTAGGAAGAAAGGTCTAGTGATCTACTTCCAAAAATTAGCCAATGAAAACCCTATGGATCACAATAGATATAGTGCTAGAAGATGAGCCCCTAGGTTGGAAGGCACTCAAAATACACAGTGGCCGCAACAATGGGCTCAAGCATACCAAGGATCATGAAGATGGCACAGGACTGGGCAACATTTCATTCTGTTGTACATGGGGATACCATGAGTTCTAGACAACTTAATGGCAGCTAACTGGAGAAGAGCTGCCTCCTCAAAGTAGAGTCTACCTAATGACATGGATGGAGTAAGGCTTTTGGCACCTTCATTTGCTGTGGTGTGACTCAAAATGAGAAAAAAACGGCTACAAACATCCATTAATAATCAGAAGGGGGAATGTACAAAGTAAGAATCTAGGAAAATCAAAAGTCTTCAAAAATGAAAGGGAATGCATAAAGATCTATATTCTAGGTATTGGTGAGCTGAAATGGACTGAATTAGGCATTTTGAATCAGACAATCGTATAGTCTACTATGTCAGGAGTGAAAAATTGAAGAAGAATGCCTTTGCATTCATTGTCAGAAAGAACATTTCAAGATCTATCCTGAAATACAACATTGTCAATGATAAGATAATATCCATACACCCATAAGGAAAACCTCTTAATATGACTATTATTCAAATTTACCGACCAACCACTAATGCCAAAGATGAGGAAACTGAATCTTTTTTACCAACTTCTGCAGTCTGAAATTGATCAAACATGCAATCAAGATGCATTGATAATTATGGGTGATTGGAATGGGAAAGTTGGAAACAAAGAAGAAGGATCTGTAGTTGGAAAATATGGCTTTGGTGATAGAAATGACACTGGAGAACACATAACAGAACTTTGCAAGACCAACAACTTATTCATTGCAAATACCTTTTATCAACAACATAAATGGCAACGATACATGTAGACCTCATCGGATGGAAAACACAGGAATCAAATGGACTACATCTGTGGAAAGGGACAATATCATCAGTCAGAACAAGGCCGGGGCCAACTGTGGAACAGACCATCAATTGCTCATATACAAGTTCAAGTTGAAGCTGAAGAAAATTAAAACAAATCTAACAGAGCCAAAATACAACCTTGAGTATATCCCACCTGAATTTGAAGACCATCTCAA